CCCCCCACCCCCCCCTCCCCCCTCTTATTCAGAACCCTGTACTAGGTAAGGGGCCATATTAAAGGGACCATATAACTGCCCGTAGAAGGTAAAACCGAACCCGAAACCCTCAACCCTAAACCCTAAACTGATCGCAACACTTCATCTGACAAACGTGGTTTAGGGTTTAGAGTTGAGGGTTCAGGGAGCCCCATAAGGCGTTATGACAACTACAGCCCTTTAGGGTTTTAAGGGCTTTTGGGGCTTTTATTTGGGGTCGTCCGGGTCTGTGGGGTCACAGCTGCGGGCAGGTGCCTGATAAACCGTGAGATCCTTGTCCGATGTTCGCGCCTTGGGTATGTCGAAGTCCTCTAGCAAACGCCTGCGATCTCCTGGCGTTCTGAGGGTTTTCGACAATGAGCCCCCAATAGAGCCCCAAAATTGGACGATTCCCGTTTAATGAGGAGCCCAATAAGGTACCCCCTGATATCGTAAACCCCCATCTGGGTGAAGCAATACTAGCTTCTTGAGCGGGTGTGTTCACAGTGGTGCTCAAAGCCACAAGGCAGTGCTGAGGCCCGAAATCTGAAACCCTGAACCCCTCAACCCTGGTACTAGAACCCTATACTCTAAACCCTAAACCCTTAACCCTAAATCCTAAACCCTGAACCCTAAACCCTAAACCATGCCAACCCTTGATTGCCAGCTGCAACTGACAAGCCGAAGCCCATCTTCTCATAGGCCTTTGCAACCCCTTCCAAAGTACAAATTCGGGGGGGGCCAACATAGGGGTTTAGGGTTTAGGGTTTAAGGAATAATTACTAACAGTTTCCGTTATGGTCCCTGTACAATCATACCAAAATAACCATTCAAATCATTAAATATATTACACCCTAAATCTAACCCTAAACCCTAAACCCTAGACCCTGTAAACCCTGTTCTAGTCATTAAGGCCCCTATAGTATACAGGACAGGAGTTCAAGGGCTTCTTCAAGCTCCCTGGCGGAGCTAAGCCCAGCAATTCGCAATCAACCCCAAACCCTCAACCCTACAGGGTTGAAGGATTAGGGTTTAGGGGTTGAGGGATTTAGGGTTCAGGGATGTAGGGTTTAGGGATTTAGGAATTTAGGGCTTAGAATTTAGAGGCGGGGCTGCCACTCCTACAAACCAGAGGCAACTGAGCCAGGCAGCCGGTGAAGTTGCGCTCCCAAACGTAGAACGGCCAATCCACCTGGCACGTGGGGTTTAGGGTTTAGGGTTTAGGGTTTAGAGTTTAGGGTTTAGGGTTGAGGGTTCAGGGTTGCTTGCTCCCTTGACGGGTTTTAAGGGTTTTGGGTTCAAGGTCTTTTGGGTTTTATTCGAGCTTTTGACATTAGGCTTGCGGGTCGATGTAGGTGTTTCCAAACATACGACTACCCCCTTAAAACCCCAAGTACCGAAAAGTCGAAAAGGGACCCCTCATTTTGCAAAACCCTCATACAGGATTGCCATCAGCTTTATGTCTAAGGTTTTTGGCTCCAGGGCTTTGGGGGGTTTCGGCAACTTTTTCGGAACCTGTCTATAGAGCACCAGTTACTGGTGTTCTCTGCTTCTGAGTGCATCGCGGCACCGCCCGATGAATTGTTTGGAATGGTTTCCTGCACGACTTGGACCCAGGGCACTTGCCTGGCTCGAGCTAGATGTAAATTCGGGAACTCATACGATCTCAAACATTCGACTCTAAACATTCACCGCTTGTGGGCACTAGGAAAATCTGATGGCGGCGAGAGCACCGCCTCAGAATATCGCCGGCCATTCGCCACTCCGGCAACTTTGGGTAACTTCTCGGGCCCCGCTCTCACGCGACGTCTGGTGCCTGGCTGTCCGCCACCACAGGCTTGCGGATGCCAAAGCAGCGCTCCACGTCGAAGATCTTGGACTTTGGCATGTCGGATCCCTCGCTGGCATAGAACTCGGCGTACTGCTGCTTGAAGTCGTTGATGTTCTCGCGCCCTGTCTTCTGAAGACGGCTGGGAGGCGAGCCCGTGATCCAGAGGTAGACGGCTTCCGGCCAGGAGAGGCTCAAAGCGCGCTTGGCTACCCAGGGGTTAAGGGGGCCAAGACCCGAGACGAATGCGAAGACGGACATCGCCAGCATCGCTGCCACAAACTGCCCTCCAATGTAGAGGCCTGCCACGTCGTCGCCACAGTGGAAGATGACCATCGGGCCCAGAACACGGGCGGGGTTCAAGGCGGCGCCTGTGTACTGACCGCCTGAACCCGCGCATGCGAGCAGCGCCAGGCCCACGGCGAAAGGCGTGTGGCTGCCGTGACCTGGCTTTGCCACACCGCAGGCATAGACGCAAGAAATCAGGGTGAAGGTCATGACGCACTCCCAGCCGAAGACTTGCTCGTCGGTCAGGTCCTTGTGGATCGTGGTGCGGTCGAAGCATCCGGGGCCGGTGGCTCCACTGTGGATGAGGTCACCAGCGCCAGGCACCAGCCCAGCCGAGACCCAGGCCCCGACGATGGCGCCAATGATCTGGAGGGCAATGTAGACCAGCGTGTGGATGAGGGGATAGAAGCCGCAGACGGCGGTGCTGAAGCTCACTGCAGGGTTCAGGTGACCGCCGCTGATGTTGGCAGCAACATAGATCCACACGGCCAGCGCGAAGCCGTTCACGAAGGGTGCAAACTTCGGAGCTGACGTGCCACCAAGGATCTGGAAGAACATCACGCCCACAAACTCCACTGCTAAGGACACGGCAAACTGGCGGGAGAACACCGACTTGTAGTTGGCGAAGACGCTGTCCTTGTCCACGGTGTCTCTGCCGGATCCCATGACGACTGGCAGAAGAGTCTGTGGGCCTATGACGGCACGATGACTGTGCGATGCGAGCTACAGGCGTGTGTTACCCTGGAGCCGCGACCAATCGTTAGCACATGTCATCACCCGATTCGTCTGCACACGACCGGAACTGCTTTGGGATGAAGCTGAAGAGGAAAGCGGACAACAAGAAGTCTGAACCTACCAGTTGTGCCTCCTTTTGGAGGCTCCTCGTCCCTATCCCCTAAACCCGAAACCGAGACCCCTAAACCTTATAAACCCTAAACATCCCTGAACCCTAGCCAGTACCCCTGGCCCCTAAACACGAGACCCCTAAACCCTAAAAACCTAAACTCCAAATAGAGCATAGTCCCACTTGAGGTGGCTTGAAAGATGCTCGCACGCAACCAACAAACTGAGTTGTCGAGAGAGAAGAACGGGAGCAAGAACCTTGTGAAGGTGTGAACATGGTGCTAAACAGGCGGTCTGAGTGTTTCTCTGAGAAGCACCTATGATGAGACATCGATCTTCGAGGCACGCGTGAGACTACTGCGAAGATCAACCAGGTCTTGCATCAGACAAATACTGAGAAGCGTGTAGCTTGATTGTCGAAACAAGCGACTACAGTACTGGCAAGATCAACCAGGCTTTGCACCAGCCGAAATCTGAGACGCGCGTGGCTTGATGCCGGAGACAACCGCGTGACTAATGGCACAAACACGCATGTTCGCGGCCACGCAAGAAATTATGCTGGGGGGGGGGGGGGGGGGCAGAGGGACGACAAGAACCGCTCGAAGGTGTGAAAGGGGAGGGTGTGAAGAAGGGGGGGGAGGTTTCTCTGGCATGCCCTGCTGCGAAGAACTCATGCTGAGACATGCGTGGCTTTATGATCGAGACAAGCATTGCTAAGCATGGAACCCGTCACACCAACGAGGAGGGAGAAGAGAGGCGGGAGAGAGGAAAACTAACTCTCTCCCTGTCCCAGCGGCCCCCGGGCCCCTCCCCCTACCGTGGTGCCACACGGCTCCGAGTTTGTGCTAGTTTGTATATTTGCATGTGTCTTACTGGCCCAAAACCCAAGGAAATAAAAGTTTAAACTTTCAGAATAAACTACCTTATAAGAAGCCCAAAAGTTGAAAAGTTGGGTTTTGAGCCAGGAAGGCAACAACCCCGGAGCAAACGATGTTTCAACAATGTAGCTAACAGTGAGGGAATCATGGCGGAGCAGCGTGGCAAGCAGTTGTGGAACGATGGGGGAAGCAATGTAGCAAAACATCTGCGCGAGTTTCCGCGCAGCGTCCAGTACGAAACGAAGAAAACAACAAAAGCATGGCAGGCGATATGCTCAGAGCAAGTGTGCGAAATAACACAACTCTGGCAGGGCCGCATTCTGAAGAGAACCGGTTGATAAACACTGGTGTAGCAAGAGCTGGGCCTGTTAGCCGTTTCACCGATACAACCATCCTCCCACTCCACTCCAACCCCAGCCCCCCACTCAACAGAAAGAACAACAAAACACAACACATACATATACATCTATATAAATATATATACACATATATACACATACACACTCGCACCCCCCCCCCCCCCCCCCCCCCCCCCCCCCCCCCACCGCCGGGCCGCCGGGCGCGAGTAGGTAATTAGTGCAATGGGTGACATGTCCATTACAAGGCCTGGGTGCGACATGGATCTACTAGGTGGCTCTTCAAACCCTCTAAACAAATCTTCCACGAAATACGATCCTCTTAAACCCCAAAATCAAGGAAAACATAAAATGTCCCAAGGGCCTACCTAGTCTAGCGGGAAGGTAAGCAACGCCACCATCGCTAAATGCTTCTTCTGTTCCTTCCGGATGGGAGGCTTCAGTTCAAAAGCTATCAAATTGAGGTGGCAACCCTCTAGCCCATGAGGTGCTGGGCTTTTTTCTCCTACCAGCCCTTCGTGCACACTGGCCTGTCCACGGGATGGTTCTCGCACGTGGTGGGGTCCTTCGGTTCTCAAGGTTGTGCCGCCCACCCACACACACACTTCTTTTAGCGGCCGGGAAAGAGATGCTGTGTCAAGGCCTAAAAACTTGCTGCAGTGCGGCGCCGGTGCGCCCAGCCGCTTACACATGAAGCGGCGCGAGAGCAAGGGCCGTCTAGTGGAGCTCATGACGTCCAGATCGATGCTGTGCCAGGGCCTGCCTGCTGCAGTGGCACCCACGCGCCCATCACACATGAAGCGGATCGAGAGAAGCATGGCCTGCCTCGTTGAACTCGTAGTGTCCGTCGGAGCCACTACCCACATCGATGAGAAGGGACAGGTTGGCGAGCGGACCGGCGACAATGCCTGTCATGTTGAAGGCCGCGTAGTGAAACATTTTCCCGGTCAAAGCCCCATGGCTGCACTGGCCGTAGAACTTCACGGGATCATGGTCACATTCTGTGCAAGAATCGGACGCGCATGTCACTGTCAAGACAAAGGAAATTGGATCTGAGCTCTCACCAGATGTAACTGCAGAGCCGTGCAGAACCTGTGTACACTGCACATGGTTCATGTACTGATGTTTGCCAGTGTAAGAGACTTGCATGTACTTGCAAATCTCCACGTCGCCAGCCTCACTGTAGACCAAAGCTGCCAGGATGATGGCTGCTGACAATGTCTTGGCCATCGCTCGTGCTGAGAGGGGGAGAGCGAGATGAACCCAGTTCGGCTGCACGGACTGAACACAAGTGGCTGCGAGAGTCTCAACCGCATCAACCAAAAACACGCACAAACGGCAAGTCACTGTTGCCTAGCAATCACGGAATCGTTCTTTGGCCGCGGGTTCGCTGCAAGTGTGGCCATATAGTCACGCAATAACCGTACATCGCAAGCATGGTTTCACGTGGCACCGGCAAGAGGACCCATATTGGGGCAGGCAAGCAGGCGGAAATAGATGACACGGTTTCCTGCACCACTTGGACCCAGGGCACTTGCCTGGCTCGAGCTATAGATGTAAACTCGGGAACAAATACAAGGAGGGGCCCCCTTACTATGATAACTTAACTGTAGTTAAAGGACTTATAACCCAATTTAGGATCCTTATAACCCAATTTAGGGTCCTTTGAATCTACTTATAACTAGGGGCCCCCTCCTTGTACAATCTTAAACATTCCTCGAAACATGCACCGCTTGTGGCTGCAGGAAAACCTGATGGCGGAGAGCACCGCATCAGAATCGCCGGCCGTGCGCCACTCGGTCAGTTGGGTACAAGCTTGCGGACGCCAAAGCAGCGCTCCACGTCGAAGATCTTGGACTTTAAGGATCCCTCGCTGGCATAGAACTCGGCGTACTGCTGCATGAAGGCGTTGATGTTCTCGCGCCCTGTCTTCTGAACACGGATGCGAAGCGGGCCTGCCATCCAGGGGGTTGAGGGGGCCAAGGCCCGAGACGAAGGCGAAGATATCGCCAGCATCGCTGCCACAAACTGCCTTCCGATGTGAGGCCTGCCACGTCGTCGCCACAGGCGCTGCTCGCAGCCAAAGGCGTGTGGCTGCCGCAAGCTGGCTTGCCACACCGCAAGCGCAGACGCCAGAAATCAAGGTGAAGCTCGTGACTTGCTCGTCGGTCAGGTCCTTGTGGATCGTGGTACGGTCGAAGCAGCCGGGGCCGGTGGCTCCAGTGTGGATGAGGTCACCAGCGCCAGGCACCAGCCCAGCCGAGACCCAGGCCCCCACGATGGCGCCAATGATCTGGAGGGCAATGTAGACCAGCGTGTGGATGAGGGGATAGAAGCTGCAGACCGCGGTTCTGAAGCTCACTGCAGGGTTCAGGTGACCGCCGCTGATGTTGGCAGCAACATAGATCCACACCGGCCAGCGCGAAGCCGTTCACGAAGGCTGCAAGCTTCGGAGCTGACGTGCCAGCAAGGATCTGGAAGAACATCACGCCCACAAACTCCACTGCCAAGGACACGGCAAACTGGCGGCAGAACACCGACTTATAGTTGGCGAAGACGCTGTCCTTCTCCACGGTGTCGCTGCTGCATGACGACTGGCAAAAGGGTCTGTGGGACGGCGCGATGACTGTGCGATGCGAGGCGTGTGTTACCCTGGAGCCGAGACCAAGCGTCATCACCCGACTCGTCGGCCAAGATGGAACTGCTTTCGGATGAATCTGGGCCAAGCAAAACCCTTCGTGCCTGGTTCTCGCGGGCATACTTGGCGTACTCGTCCAGCGACAGCTCCTCAGCAGGCCCCAGCAGGGGGAATTTCGTGAAGACTTTTGCTCGCAAGTGCAGGTGAAAGGTCGCTTATAGGGCTAAACCCTAAACCCTACGCCCTAAACCCTAAACCCTGAACCTCAAGCCCTACAAGCTCGCAGACCAGGAAGCCCTCTCAAACCAAAGACACCACCGCCTGCGCCCTCCAAGGCCCCCGCCACCCGAAGTGGCTTGCCCAAGCCGTGCAGTGAACCCATTTCCTTACAGGAGGCACTTCTGAGGCTTGTGGGGTTTTTTTATTGTTTAGGATTTAGGGTTTTGGGTTCAGGGTTATATAAGGGTTATGTGTTTTGGGGCTATATAAGGGTTTAGGGTTTAGGCGTAGGGTTTGGGGGAGGTTCAGGAGCCTCAGAGGGATTCACGGGGTTTCCGGGTTTAGAGACTTAGGGTTAACTGCGCCCCCTTAAGGCTCAAAAACACCAGAGTCCTGTAGCTTCGAAAGCACCTCGTTTTTGCATGGTTGCCATGAACCCTGAACCCTAAACCCTCAACTGTAAACCCTAAACACTAAACCCTACAGCATGCATGCCCGGGAGCTCAGTAGCCCTGTTTTCTTGTTTTGGAGATTATTCCCAGTACCTTAACAACCCAAGACTCCAATGGTTGTAGGTTATTCCAGTCATGCCCCTTAACTGGGATGCTTAGGTAACCTACACACCAGAAGCTTTTGGGTTGTGAAGGCGCAATAGGGATCCCAATATGAACTAAGGTACATTCCTTCATTAGGGGGTATTTCGGGCTATCTGTGGGGCAATTACGTGAACGGCGTGGAGGGGGTTGAGGAGCCCTGAAAGCACAATACGCCTCAATGAAGAATAGGGTTTAGGTTTAGGGTTTAGGGTTTAGGGTTTAGGGTTTAGGGTTTAGGGTTTAGGGTTTAGGGTTTAGGGTTTAGGGTTTAGGGTTTAGGCGAAGAACGACATATAGGGATCCTTGTTATCAGCTAAGGTGCATTCCTGAAGTTAGGGTGGTATAACATAGGGACTCCTCAATGAAAGGGGCGGGGTTTGACCCCCAGCCCTGAACTGATTGTGAAGGCTAACCCTCAGCCATAAACCCTTTGAACCTAAAACCTTAGGGTTCAAGAATAATGAGTGACTCTCTGGGTCTTATAACATCCCCTGAAGAGTAAACCAAGAACTTGGGATGTTCCCCCTTATACCAGCAGTCCTTCATAGGGATGATTGGTACCCTTCTTATGATCCCTCGACTGTTAGCATAAGGGGGAACATCCCAACTAGGAATCCCTACACCCTGAACTTTACACCCTTTTTGCTTGAAGGGGCTTGGTAACGAAACCAACACCCTAAACCCTAAACCCTAAATAGCCCTAAACCCTAAACCTTTAGCCAATCCCTCCTATTACTCGTCATGTTTTAAGGTTTGGGGTTTAGGGTTCAGGGTCTGGGGCTTCGGGTTGAGGGTTTAAACCTTGCACCCCCCCCCCCCGGCTCAAAAAAAAAAAAACTTTCACCCGCTGCACCGCCTCCAAAAGGAAAAAGAAAAACAAACCAACCCAGCCAAACCCTTCACCCCACTCCCCCCCCCCCCCCCCCCCAAAAAAAAAAAAAAAAAACACATGGGAACCCCCAAACCCCTCCCGCCCCCCCATCCCCCCATCCCCCAAAACCCAAAAACCCTAAAACCCAAAAACCCAAAAACCGAAAAATCCTAAACCCTAAACCCTAAACCCTAAACAACAAAACTCACGCCAGAGCTCCGTCACTTGCACCCGCAGGTGCCCGTAGTGCTCCAGAAATCGCGCCTCTCGGGCTTTGCTTTTAGGGTTTAGGGTTTAGGGCTTAGGGCTTAGGGTTTAGGGTTTAGGGTTTAGGGTTTAGGGTTAGGGTTTAGGGTTTAGGGTTTAGGGTTTAGGGTTTAGGGTTTAGGGTTTAGGGTTTAGGGTTTAGGGTTAGGTTTAGGGTTTAGGGTTTAGGGTTTAGGGTTTAGGGTTTAGGGTTTAGGGTTTAGGGTTTAGGGTTTAGGGTTTAGGGTTTAGGGTTTAGGGTTTAGGGTTAGGGTTTAGGGTTTAGGGTTTAGGGCTTAGGGCTTAGGGTTTCGGGGTTTCAGGTTTGGGGTATTAGGGCGATCAATAGCATTTCGGTCGGTTTGAAGTCAGGGTTGCAGGGCTTAGGGTTTTAGGGCTGTTTAGGGTTTTCGGGTTTTGAAGGTAGAGGGCGTGGTGGGGGCTATACATTTGGCTAAGGCAAAGATTGCTTCAGGATTTCGGAAACCTAAATCCTAAACCCTAAACCCTAAACCCTAAACCCTAAACCCTAAACCCTAAACCCTAAACCCTAAACCCTAAACCCTAAACTCGGAATTAGGAGCCCCAGTCCCCAGTCTCCCGAGGCCGGGGCCTGGCTACCCCAGCGGTCCGGTGCTGTCCAGCCGTCAGCAGCCGGAACGCCTTTCCTGCGCCAAGGCACTAAGAGTAAACCGTTTAGGGTTTAGGGTTTAGGGTTTAGGGTTTAGGGTTCAGGGTTTAGCGTTTAGGGTTTAGGGCTACTGCGACCCAAGAGTAACTGAGGAATGCAGCGGGTACCCTTTCAGGGCTTCAAGGGGCTCATCCCGTCCTAGTGTATCTTCTCACTTAAGTTCAGGGGGGGGACCGCACGGGGCTTTCTGTGTGGGTTCAACCTTAAGCCTGAAGCCGGAAAAGAGGTTCAGAATTTGGGATAGGGGGTTCCGGCTCAGCTCCTGATCCAAACAAGAGGGTAAGAGAAACACTGGACCATCATCTGCGGCTTTCCTTTCGAGAAGCCACTTGGAGCCCCAAACCCGAAACCTAACTTGCTGGGATGCCTTCAAACACCAAGCCAGGTTCTCTTAGTAGGTAATGAGGGAATGAGGTACCCTATATAATCCCTTCAAGGGTAGATATAGGGCCCTCATTCCCTCATTCCCTACTAAGAACCCCTGAACCCCAATATTAACCCCCCCCTAGACCCCTAATATGAAAAAAAACAATATACCACAATATAAGTATAATGGGGGGGAATATTTACCCCCCCCTAGCCCCCTAATATGAAAAAAAAACAATATACCACAATATAAGTATAATGGGGGGGGGGGGGTATTTAATATTAGAGGGTAGGGTGGGTTTAATATTAGGGGGAGGGGATTCAGAACCCCTGATCCCTAACCCTAAACCCTAAACCCTAAACCCTAAACCCTAAACCCTAAACACATCATCTGTTTCGCAGCTTCCCAGCACATCTCGGCACCGCCCAATGAGGAGTTTGGGGATCCTTGGGCACCAAATGAACTCTAGGTTTAGGGTTTAGGGTTTAAGGTTTAGGGTTTAGGGTTGAGGGATAATATGCCCTACTAAGGTCCATGAGCCATAAACCCTTTTAGGGTTCCTTTCGTTGCCCAGGGATGGTGTCCTGCACGACTTGGGACCCATGGCACTTGCCTGGTTCCAGCTAGATGTAAATTCGGCAACTCATACGATCTCAGGGGGTTTAGGGTTTAGGGTTTAGGGTTTTGGGTTTAGGGTTTAGGGTTTAGGGTTCCTCTGAACATTCACCGCTTCTGGGCAAGAAGAAAAAGAAAACTGAGAGCACCGCCTCAGAATATCGCCGGCCGTTTGTCGCTCCGGCAAGTTGGGTAACTCTTTTGGCCCCCCCCCCCCCGCTCTCAGGCGAGGTCTGGTGTCTGGCTGTCAGCCGCCACTAGTTTGCGGATGCCAAAGCAGCGCTCCACGTCGAAGATCTTGGACTTTGGCACGTCCGATCCCTCGCTGGCATAGAACTCGGCGAACTGCTGCTTGAAGTCGTTGATGTTCTCGCGCCCTGTCTTCTGAAGACGGCTGGGAGGCGAGCCCGTGATCCAGAGGTAGACGGCTTCCGGCCAGGAGAGGCTCAAAGCGCGCTTGGCTACCCAGGGGTTAAGGGGGCCAAGGCCCGAGACAAAGGCGAAGACGGACATCGCCAGCATCGCTGCCACAAACTGCCCACCAATGTAGAGGCCTGCCACATCGTTGCCACAGTGGAAGATGACCATCGGGCCCAGAACACGGGCGGGGTTCAAGGCGGCGCCTGTGTACTGACCGCCAGAACCCGCGCATGCGAGCAGCGCCAGGCCCACGGCGAAAGGCGTGTGGCTGCCGTGACCTGGCTTTGCCACACCGCAGGCATAGACGCAAGAAATCAGGGTGAAGGTCATGACGCACTCCCAGCCGAAGACTTGCTCGTCGGTCAGGTCCTGGTGGATCGTGGTGCGGTCGAAGCATCCGGGGCCGGTGGCTCCACTGTGGATGAGGTCGCCAGCGCCAGGCACCAGCCCAGCCGAGACCCAGGCCCCGACGATGGCGCCAATGATCTGGAGGGCAATGTAGACCAGCGTGTGGATGAGGGGATAGAAGCCGCAGACGGCGGTGCTGAAGCTCACTGCAGGGTTCAGGTGACCGCCGCTGATGTTGGCAGCAACATAGATCCACACGGCCAGCGCGAAGCCGTTCACGAAGGGTGCAAACTTCGGAGCTGACGTGCCGCCAAGGATCTGGAAGAACATCACGCCCACAAACTCCACTGCCAAGGAGACGGCAAACTGGCGCGAGAACACCGACTTATAGTTGGCGAAGACGCTGTCCTTGTCCACGGTGTCGCTGCCGGATCCCATGGCGACTGTGGGCTTAAGGCGCGATGACTGCGCGATGCGAGCTAGAGGCGTGTGTTACCCTGGAGCCGAGACCAATCGTCATCACTCGACTGGTCGAATGAGCCTTGTGTCGACCCGTTGCCATGCTGATGCCCTTAGAGGTACCTGAGACTGATTCCTTGACCTGTATGCATCCAATGCTGGGTTTAGGGTTTAGGGTGTAGGGTTTAGGGTTTAGGGTTTAGGGTTTAGGGTTGAGGGTTGAGGGTTTAGGGGCCATCTTCAAGCAGAGCTTGAAGTGTGTACCTTCCTGCATTCCCGTGCCTCGCGCCCATACTGAGCGCCTACCCCTTCGAACACGGATCGTCTGCTCACTTCTCATTAGGGTTCAGGGTTCAGGGTTCAGGGTTCAGGGTTTAGGGTTTAGGGTTTTGGAGCCTCATCACTTAAAGGGTTTTCTAAACCCCTAAACATCTGCAATGAAAGCCCTAGAAACCCCCTGCGCCCCTCCCCATAATTTAGATCTGGCTCCCCATTTGACCCTAAGCCCTATACCTATCTATGCCTATGTACGACCCTGAACCCAAAACCCTGAGCCCTACAAACCCTCAACCCGATGTTCCCTAAACCCTAAACCCTAAACCCTAAACCCTAAACCCTAAACCCTATAAACCCTAAACCCTAAACCCCGTAGAGCTAGGACTCCCGGCACCACTGCCGGCCGGCCAGGGCCGCCCGCGAAGCGGCGCAGGAACTCCTGCAAACAGTAGGGTTTAGGGTTTAGGGTTTAGGGGTTAGGGTTTAGGGTTTAGGGGGGTGGGCTTTGGATATTTAGGAGCTTAGGATTTGGGGATCTAGGGCTGTTTGGGGAAGGGGTTCATGGCTGTTGGGGAGTGTATCTAGAGGTTTAGGGTTTAGGGTGTGGGGGTTTACCTGGGGCTCTATAAGCCAGAAAACGGTAGGTGAGGACAGTTCCAGGTACTTGAAGGCTCATGGGTTGTTGTAAGGATTTAAACCCTAAACCGGCTTCATGCAGAAACAGGAAGAAGGGAAGCCTTCCCTAAACCCTACACCCTAAACCTTAAACCCACATGTTTTTTAAGGGTGGGGGGGCGGGGGGGGGGGACTCCGTTTCGGTCTGTAAGTTATCATGATTCAGCTCGAGGGTCCGGTATATCACTATAAGGCCCTTCTTTATTCTAGGGCTTAGGGTTTAGGGTTTAGGGTTTAGGGCTTAGGGTTTAGGGTTTAGGGCTTAGGGTTTTAGGGATACTGGTGTTTGGGGGGGGGGGGGGGCAGGGGGCTCCTGGCAGGGGGGTTGGGGATGTACGGTACCCGAAAATTTAGTCACACTCGCAGGCGCGACGGCCCTTAACCGTTAAACCTTATATAAACTCCTAAACTCCTATAAACCCTATATAGCTTCAACCCCATAAACCCTAAACCCTAAACCCCAAAACCCAAACCCTCAACCCTAAACCCTCACCACGGAGAAGGAGACGTGAGGCTGGAGCGCACTTACCCCGACCCCTAGGAGGATCCCAAAAAAACGAAGGTCCCCTTCAGGATTCCGAAGAATGACCCAATTACTACAGGGCACCTTAGCTTTGGAGTAGACCCTGGAAAATAAGTATATACTTTTTAGGTATAAGTAGCTAATATAGGAACCCAGAACCAAAAAACGTATTAAAGTGTAGTACTCTAAAACCCAGGTACTATTTGGGGAGGTTCTACTTGTTGGATCCTGAGGGGCTGGGTAGCTGCAGAAGACCTTCCGCCTAAGCCCTAAGCCCTAAACCCTAAACCCTAAACCCTAAACCCTAAACCCTAAACCCAGAGAAATAAGACCTGCCACAAGCTAAATCGCCCGGTCCTCCGATGACAAGGCCTTACCTCAGGAACCATGGAGGGCGTCTGTGCAGGATGACGGCAGATGCAAGCTGAACCCTACCTGGGACTGTTTACCTACACTTTAGTAGCAACTACCCCTTAAATAGTGGGTATACCCCATTAAGCTGTAGGTACTTTTTTGAGGTAAACCTGAACTCAAGAGAACTCTCGCTTGGAACTCCCTAAGAAGCGCTGTGCTCTTACTTGCTGAGTTCATAAGCCCCAAAAGGCGTACACTTTCAGTTCTGTAGGGGATGCTAGTATCTCCCAAAAAGTGTAAAGTGTTCTCATTCAGCTACCAAGTACTTGAAAAACCCGTCAACATACTGACTTTGCTGTGTCTTAAAAACCTTGTTGACACGAAAGTAAAGTAGAAGATATGTCTTCCGGGACCCTCTGTACGTACAGTCCTCTAGGTTGTACCTACCAAGCAGGGGGTAGTAAACCGTAGGTAAAAAGAGCCCCAGGTCGAGATACCCAACTACCGTAGGCCCTAAACCCTACACCCGTTAACCCTAATTTTAGGGTTTAGGGTTTAGGGTTTAGGGCCTAAACCCTAAAAAATCCTCAACCCTAGCGGAGCGCGGCTTTTTTAAACCAATGACTCCAAGACGCGAGGCTAAGGAAAGCCGATTGGCGTCCGATGTGTCGACTCCGGGAAATTTAGATCCGTCGGCACTTGTGTCCGTCAAGTCGTCTAGGCTGGCCCCTTCTAAAGACAAAACTCTGAAAAGCGTGTTCCTCTGGTAGCTCTGTAATCCTCTTAAACCCACCTAAACCCTAAACCCTACACCTTAAACCCTATACGGAACATGTAGAACATCCCAGGGCCCACCCAGATCTCTCTGTCACGTGTTGCCCGTCATTCAGCGCCTGACGAAGCACTATGCTTGCAGATTCTTGTTTCTGAAATTGCCTTTCAAACGGAGCAGTCTCCAGCATGCATTGCCTCTTAGGACGAAATTTGAAGTTCCTGATTCATTTTAAAACTTGGAGTTTAGGGTTTGTTGTAGGGCTCTTAAGGGAGGGGGGGTTCAAGGGGGGTATGTAACCCAAGGCTCCCCAATACTCCCGACTGCTCCCCAAGGCTCCCTAAGCTTCCCTAAGGCCCCCTAGGTACCGACCCCCCGGCCCGCCTTGAACCCCCCTCCCTTAAGAACTCGATTCGTTTGGGACCCTAAGCCCTAAACCCTAAACCCTAAACCCTGAACCCTAAACCCTAAACCCTAAACCCTAAACCCTAAACCTGGCAACTCATGTGGACAGGGCTCCAGGCATGCAGCATGCAACCACAAGTGGGCGACACCGCCTGTGTCCTTGAGCTTCAAAAAGCGGACTTGGCGGAGGGTTTAGGGTTTAGGGTTTAGGGTTTAAGGTTTAGGGTTCAGGGTCCATGAAGGTGCGGACATCTGCGGGTGGTTCTTGACATGAAGGTCTCTTCTTCCCAAAACCCACACAAGCCTCTGCATGCCAGACTCCCCGAGACCCCAAAAACCCGAAGTTTAGGAAAACCCTCAAACCTGCAACCCCAAGCAGACTCTTAAAAATTCAAAAGCTGGAAGGCTGACTAGACCTTGAAAACCCTAAGCCATGTGTAAGACCCTAGAGCCCCTAAACCCCTAAACCCCTACATCCCTAAACCCCTAAACCCCTAAACCCCCAAACCCCTAAACCCCTAAACCCCTAAACTCCTAAACGCCTAAGCCCCTAAACCCCTAAATCCCTAAGCCCCTAAAACCCCTAATTAAACCCCTAAACCGTGTAGGGGGCAGGGACGCTGCACTGTACATGCAGGAGTGTATGTATATATATATATATATCTACGTATATCCAACAGTGTATAAACTGGAAACACATAAACAAAAGTAAATGAATAATATGTTACTATATACATGTCTACAGCTTTATCTCTACCTCCACGATTGGCCCGAGACACCCCGCTCTCAAAGGGACCCTCCTGCCGAAAACCACGCGTTGCTTGAAAGGACCCCGCACACTCAAGCGAGGTCAAAATCTGTCTGTGCGGGCTACAGCCCGAAAATGCAGGAATCTACTGTGCAGTCGTCCCAAACCCCTGCGATTGTATAAGCTCATGCAGGCCATCATCGCGGGTACCCTGAACAAGCCAGGGGGCCCGCGAATCGCACCTGCGATTCCCGCATGCCTTCGGACTGGTTGGCGTCTCAAGACGCGTCTGATAATTAGAGCAAAAGATGCAGGTTGGATCCTGTCTAGCACGAATGCCCTCTGGGGAAGAGGTTGGGGCCCGCGAAATTTCGCAGGACCCAAACATGGCCAGCTTTTCACCCCAACGGCTAGACCCAAGAGTAACCCAGGACATACCAAGGGCGCCCCTTTTGTGTTTAAAGGGGCTTGGAAGGGAACTTATAAACCCTAAAAAGGGAATAAGGGCCCACTCTGGGTCCTAGTAGCCCTAAACCCTAAACCCTAAACCCTAAACCCTGAACCCTCAACCCTCAACCCCAAACCCGTTTAGGGGCTGTAGGTGCCTTAGACTTATACTGCAGGGCTTCTGGGGGAGGGTCAAGGAATTGGGGGCATAATAGAGGGGTCGGAAGAATTACTAGTAGTAATCCTTCGTGGTCCCTTTCCAATTACAACAGAATAAGCCCCAAAACCCTATTCTAATTCTTAAGGCCCCGAAAGAAGAGTGGCTGAAATTCTTGAAAGGCATAGGGCTACAACAAGAGGCTTAGGGGACTCAACCCTAGACCCGAAACCCTTAACCCTTAAACCCTGAACTCCCAAACCCTAAACCCCTAACCCTAAACGACCTAAACCCTAAACACTATAGGTAAACCCTAAACCCTAAACCCTTAAACCCTAAACCCTTAAACCCTGAAGCCCTAAACCCCTAACCCCTAGACCGCCTAAACCTCAAACACTAGAAGTAAACCCGAAACCCTAAACCCTTAACCCCTAAACCCCCAAACACCACACCCCTAAACCACCTAAACCCTAGACACTAGAAGTAACCCCAAAACCTTGGCCGCTAAACCCTAAACCCTCAACCCTAAACCTAAACCGACAACCCTAAACAGTAAAAGTAAACCTGAAACCCTGAAAGCAGGTGCAAAGGGCCAACCGGCAGTACAAGCCACGACAGCAGCATCAGCCTCGAATGCAAAGCAGCTAGGGTTTCGGGTTTAGGGTTTCGGGTTGAGGGTTCAGGGTTTAGGGTTTCGGGTTTAGGGTTAAGGGTCTAGGGTTTGGGGCTATGGACTGGCTTTAGGGCGGTCGAATTCTCCAGCCCCTGAAGTCTTCTTTAGGGGGTATGGGTTTGAGAGCTTAAGCCTACACCCTATACGCCCTAAACCGTAAACGAGCAGCTACTACTTGCTTAAGAACCCCCGACAAAGAAAAACAATAATCCCGAAATTACCCTTATAAGGAAGACTATTCTTGTTTTGGAGGGGGGTTCTTAAGCAATTGGTAGGCATCTCGGTGTTCGCGACTTCCTTCGCTAAATTCTTAAGATGCTTGGCCGAACATGGTAACTCTGCATCCATCTTCGACGAACCCCACGTCGCTCCTAGCCTAAGGAGTGTGAAATTGTCTAGGACCCCTATACCCAAAACCCTTCGACCCTAAACCCTAAACCCTAAACTCTGAACCCTTTTAGGCTTCAACCTGAACCCTTTTAGGGTTTAATTCGGGTTTAGGGTCTAGGCCTTATGGGGTTTAGATGATGTCGCCCACAAAAAGCCCTTTCCTAAGGTACCCAATTCCCTAATTCCGTACGAGAAATATAGGCGTGTTAGGATATGGGAGTTGACGAACATAAGGGACCCTTAACATAGACCCCAAATGGTAGGACTAATGTAGCGATGCTTATGGAAATGGACTTGTGGTCACCAGCTTTTGCCCCTCTGCTCCGCCCACCGTACCTTCAGATTGAGCAGCGGTTGCTCTAAAGGATGGTATGTGACGCCATGTCACAAACAGAGGACTATGAATTAACTGGTGCTCGCGCCCAAATGCCGCGAACAGTCTTTCATGATCGGAAACATAGAGTATGGCCATTCAAACACACATCTGCACTCGCCAAGGCCAAAGCACATGATGACACACTCCCAGCATGGGTGGGATTGAGAGCTGAGTGTCTCATGACACAGAACCCTCCAAATTAAACATTAACGTCTGGACATCTGTCAGGTAGGACGTGCCCGGTCCAGCTCCCCAAGCCCTCAGGTACGCAAGACTTGCTGATACCACGGGCTGCCAGTGAACCGGGAGTGACTGCATCAGCACCGTTGAGACACCGCTGATTCCAACATCTGTGGCTACATGCTTAGCGCTTCTCGCCATAGCCTCGTCAACCGCAGACCCCACTGAGTGCTGTAGTGCTCGGAGCATTTCAGCAACCATTTGGCGGAGAAGTGGCTCGCAGCAACAAAAGCAACCCCAAAGACATGCGGCTATGGTAAAACTTGCGCCAGCGGCCCAGATGAATAGGGAAATTCCAGCCCAAAGGCCTTTGCAGAATGAGCTAACTATCTTGCGCACAAACCTGCATGACGTGGCTCTGCAGGAAGTGCGCCCAAATAGTCACTCAGGCACGTCTTGCGGAGACAACACCTTCACCAAGAGGCGCAGCGTGAGGAGATCACGGTTCAGAACTGTAGCCTTCTGGAGCCCTGCCTTCTGCAAGGCCACATTGAGGTCCTCGTCGCTGAGCCGCAACTTTTCTGCCGCCAGCCATGCGCTGACTGCAACAGGAGTTCGCGTCCACCCTTTGGCGATGGCAGGCCTCACACCGGAGATCCACATTTTTTGCTGCGCTGTTGTGATCAAGACGTTCTCCAAGTCCCACTGCTCTACATCCACAGGGAGCCAGTCGAGCACCGTGTTCGACTCACCGGGCTCCTCTGCAGAGGCCTGTTCCAATGGTAACTCGGGCATGGACTCCCGCAAAGACTTGATCTCAGACTGCAGTCGTTCCTTCTCTGCCTGTTTCTCTCGTCGAGCCTTCTCCTCCTTCAAAGCCTCCAGCTCCTGTCTAAGCTGCAGAAGTTCCTGGGACTCTTGGGCTGTAGGCATACTGTTGCCTGCACTGCTGGGAGTACTACCGATTTTCTGCGCCGCATGGTTCGCCACAGAGCTCTTCAAAGAACTTGAGCTGGGAGCGGTGTCTGTTGCTCCAAATTTTGAAGCCAAAGCATCCAATAAGCCTTTCAACCAAGAAGGTGGATCACCCGCGGCCCTCGTAGCCTGCGCACCAGGCTCGGTGTATGCAGAGCTACTAGGCTCATGGGTCTCCCGACTTGGCGCATGGCCCAAAGAACCCACAAAACGCTGCAGCAAGGAAGTTGCCTGCTCTTCTTGCTGCTGCTGGCGCCCAAGCTCCTGCAGCTCATGCACGAGATATGCTGCTCGACTCACGGGTGTTGGCGACGAAGCTTTTCCATAGCCTTTGCTCTGGTAGCTTCCATAGCCTTTGCCCTGGTAGTGACTATCATGCCAGCGTCCTTTCCCTGAGTTGTAACGCTGCCAACCGCGGTAACCACTAGAGTGGTCTCGGCTACGGCTGCGGCGTCCCTTTCCGCCCATCGCAACTTTTTTGGTGCACTACACACTAAAACCAAAAGCACAAAAGCACAAACCACAAAAATCCAGCCCCAAACCCAAAATCAACAAGAAAACCGGACAACCCTAGTGCGACGCGGAGCAAGGTTTTCACTCAAAGAGTCGCGCCAGTGCTTAACCCAGGCGGCAACTTGGTCTGAGACTCACTGAGGCCAATTTGTTGCCAGCGAGACACCGTTGCTTTTACTCGTTGCTTGAAATCCTTGTTATCAAAGCAAGACTCGTGCAGGAATGGGGGCCACCGTTGTCTTTCAGGCCAGTTAGCTTGCCCTAACAACCACGCTTGCTCATTGAAAGGAATGTCAATAGTAACCTGACTATCCTGATTGTCAGCTGCCAGAACGCAAACGTCCAGCCAAGCAACTTTAGTGTAGGAGGCTTGCTCAACATCAAACCTGATATGACTAGGGTAAACCTGATCAATCAGGGGCTTTAAGCAACCCAAACACCAAGTGGACACCAGAAGCAGGTCATCTACGTATCTTACAGCAGCCAGCTGCGTGGCAGTAGGCGCACTAGGTCGGCATGCAAAATCACACTCCGACGGGCCAAGAGCCAACATAGCGTGCAAGCGGGACATGAGGCCGCCAATGGGGCTACCTGAAGCTTGGCGCAAGATCCGGTCACCCCACCGAACATTCAGCAATGCTTCGTGCAAGGACAATTTGAGAACTTTCACAAGGTCACGAAAAGGCCACACATCAGCGCCATTGACAGCCACATGCTCTGACCGGCATAAGCTTCCTCGGAGCTTCTTGCACTGCATCAACACGACCGCCTTATACCCCTCATGCTCGGCGCGGGCCACAACCCTTTCCATGTTGGCAAGTACATCGGCAGGCTTGATCTGTTCATACATCTGCCCTGCGTCTGCAACCAGCAGTGACACGCCCTTCCGAGCTGCGCCACACTTTGGACAGCAGGCGCAGCCAAAGTCAAGTTTCGCCAAGCGCTTCCTGAGATCAGTGACGCTGGTTTTTAGGCTCAGTGTCTCCCAACCTAGGAAATACTTGCTGACAAGCAGGGTTGTAGCACGAGAGACTTGCCTGAAAACTCGCCGCACGCTTGTTTCGCAGCGCCCCCACGAAACAATTTTTCGGAAACAGCTGTGAGATCGCTTCACGCACGTGTGCTGCCAACCAGTAGCCACGGAACCTTGGAAACACTTAGCTTTAACCGTGCCATACCCGTAGGGAACATGCCCAGGGTCTGAGGAAGCACGCAAAACTCTCCCCCGCGATAGTTCTGCAGCATTGATTGCGGACGCGCGTATCACAGCAGCTTCTTGCAGGCTCAAAGCAGTAGGCACCCACTTGTCATCCGACGCAAGCAAGTGGCACATGCGAGACTGGTAGGAAAACTTGGCCATTTTCCAGCATGCAGCACTGTCCTTATCTTCCTGCACAAAGCATGTGTCGGGATCGAGACTAGGGAAAGCAAGCGCGTATTGCTGGAGGGGCTGCAGTAAGGCAGAACGGTGGAGGCAATTGCCAACTGCATTAAGCAATGCTTTCTCAAATGCAACACTTTCACGCGGGCTGAAGCGCAAGCAATGGCAAGCTTGTCTCAGTCGCAATTTGAAAGAACTCAAGCTATCAAGCGGCTGGTCAACATCTGGGAACTTTGTCCAACATTTAACACGTTGCATGTCTGTTCCCGACAACAGTTGCTGAAGCTCATCACATGTTAGCGACTCATACTCCACCCAGCGAGCGGCTCTCATGACACGCTGCATGTTGAAGCGTCTGGCTTTTATCGTAGCCCGTGGAAGAATGACAAGCCGTAAGTGGCCCTTCAACCACAGCCACCGCTCTGGCACACCACGCGACAGTTCCACAGCAACCTCACGCAAGGCTCTGCCCACCTTGGCAGCGCAGGCAAAGGACGGCAGTTTCAACACAACCGTTTTCAAAGGCAACTCGCACGCCCAACGCATGTGGCTAGACAACACACCCAAGCCCCGGCGCTTGTACTTTGGACGTGGGTGGGCAAGCACACAAGATGCAACTCGGTACACGATGCTGTCGCCCCAGCGGCGTTTGACATCATTCCAGTCAACACGACATCCTTTGCTGCACACCCATTGCGTCAAAAGCAACACCGACGAGGCATAGTGAAGAACAGTGGCTCGAAGGCCCAAGGACACGCACCACGCTCTTTGCAGAAGGTCATACAACATGAGGAACGGCAACATCAAACCTTGCTGTAGATTTCGCAACTTCGCATTGCAAGGGAGTGCTGGGGGCCAGCACCTGTGCAAGTGGAAGGCTTCAAGCCGATCAAAACCAATCGACACACCATGCTGCGGCGCATCACCAGAAATGAACACAGCACGTCTTGCACGCAAACGCTTATGTGGTCGTTGTCGACCATTTCCAGGCAAGCGAAGGTCACGCTCAATCTTAAATGTGCGGTTGGCAGTTGGCTGGGATTGTGAAATGTGGGCAGCCTCCATGGCTGCTAGCTCGTGCTTTGACGTAGCATCATGAAGCCAAACGTAGCCAACTGTTGAGGGTGGATCTTTTCGCATGTGCATGGGTGGGCAAGCCAAGTGTTCGACAAACCTGCGCATTGGGTCCCTTCCCCAACAGGGATGGCTCTGCAACTCACTCATGCCAACATACGTGTTTTTGCACAACAAGGCATACAGGCTTCCCCCGCAACGGCTCACAGGACAAGGTCGACAGTGCAAGCGCAACTGCTGTAGAAGGAATCCTTGGATCACGGTCCTATCCTCCGCAGTTGCTGTTCCGGCAACACACTTGACCAAGCACGAGGCGACAAGCGACGGCAAAATTCGCAACGCATGGCATGCTCTCTTAAAGCGTCTCTGACCAGCGCGTAGCTGCCAGGCAATCGTCATGAGTGACAGGCATGAACTCATTGCAAAGAACGCTGGCATCAGGGCTTTCCTGCATTCAACTGCATCGGTATGACGGTAAGGAGTTCTGCTCCCTGTCCGTTTGGACCCAGTCAGGAACGCATGCAGGTGGAATAACATGCAAGTTGTCAAGCGGTGCATTGCTGCCAGGAACTTCATGTCTTCACCCGCTTGGCATAGAGATGCCAATGTCAAGTCCATGTGCTTCGCAACAGACATCATTGGCATCACAAACCGCGCATTTGCAGTCGGCACAAGCATGTGGGAGGCAGACTCTTGGCAAACGGCAAGGCCAGGCCCAAGGTGAGCCACGCCAGCAATCTGGTGCACTGACAACTGCACCAGGACGACTGCATATTTGGCTTCAAAACTTCTCCACAAATCATCCAACAACGCAGTTTTCTTGTGAACGCCAGCAGGCTTGGTGCCTACACAACGTTGCATGTGCCCAAGGGACAGAAAATCCGGCGAAACCTGCACAAACCAAAATAAGTATGGAAATCTTCGGTTAGATAAGTTTAAGGTTCGGGTTAAGGTGAAGGAGTACGATAACGGCTGTTGTTGACACTGTTGCCACCAAGATGACGCAATCTCGGCCTGGCCAGCTTGCTGAACTAATGTAGCGATGCTTATGGAAATGGACTTGTGGTCACCAGCTTTTGCCCCTCTGCTCCGCCCACCGTACCTTCAGATTGAGCAGCGGTTGCTCTAAAGGATGGTATGTGACGCCATGTCACAAACAGAGGACTATGAATTAACTGGTGCTCGCGCCCAAATGCCGCGAACAGTCTTTCATGATCGGAAACATAGAGTATGGCCATTCAAACACACATCTGCACTCGCCAAGGCCAAAGCACATGATGACACACTCCCAGCATGGGTGGGATTGAGAGCTGAGTGTCTCATGACATGGTAGGATTCCCTGATAATAAGGACCCCAATAAGGTACCCCCTAAACCCTAAACCCTAAACCCTAAACCCTAAACCCTAAACCCTTAACCCTACGCCCTAAACCCTAAACCTTAAACCCTGAACCCTGAACCCTGAACCCTAAACCCCCTAATTTCGGAAGCCCCACTTAGGTGCGAAGTTGGACTGCAGGGCTGAGCATTCACGTGTGTGTGCTTAGCTTGGGGCTCGGGACTTAAGGCTTTGTTCGGGTTTAGGGTTTAGGGTTTAGGGTTTAGGGTTTAGGGTTTAGGGTTTAGGGTTTAGGGTCAGGGTTTAGGGCTAGCAATGGAAGCAAGGGAGGTGGATTGCCAGCTGGTGGATGCCGCAAGGAGCTGCACAGACTTCACAGTCCTCGAAACGCATGCTTCATCTGCGAGGAAAGCAATCGGCCCTGCCTACGCTCTCGACTGCAGTGTAGGGGTAACCTGTAGGACTCCAAAACGGGATTCTAACCCTAAACCCTAAACCTGAACCCTAACCCTAAACCCTGAACCCTAAACCCTAAACCCTAAACCCGTAGGTTTTGGGCGTTCTGGGGTTCCCAGGGTAGGGTTTCGAGCCTGCAGGGCCTTGGTGCGTTGTAGGTGGGCTCCGGGAGTTCATTGGCTTCGGTTAAGGGTTTAGGGTTTAGGGTTTCGGGTTTCGGGTTTCGGGTTTAGGGTTTAGGGTTTAGGGTTTAGGTTTAGGGTTTAGGGTTTAGGGTGTAGGGTTGCGCGCTTCGGCAGTCTCTAGAGGATGCACCACAAGGGGCCGACGTCGGAGCGAGAGTTGCAGGGTCAACTGCTCGAGACTTGCGGCTGGACATCTCAGGGAACGAAGGCCTGGTCATCAAGGGGCTAAAGGAGGGACTAGGGGTTTAGGGTTTAGGGTTTAGGGTTTAGGGTTTAGGGTTTGGGGTTTAGGGTTTAGGGTTTAGGGTTTAGGGGCTACATTGGGACAACTTGGGTAAGTAAGATCTCTAGAAGGTATATTTAGGGCCAAGAAAGGGAATAAGATTAAGGGTCCCTTCTAGCCGTCCCTCCTTATATCCCCGAATGTCAGCAAATGCGGAGACCACCCAGGCAGACCAGCATAAGACTACATGGTCAGTTCTCTAAACTTCTGGTCCCTTTTTTTTGGAGGGGTGCACGAA